TTTTTATTTTGTTTTGTTTTTTATTTAGAAAATACAATCATAGAAATAATATCAGCTAAGATTTAGTGTTTTATAAGTAAACGCTTCTAATGAAATATTCAAAGACCTGGAGTTAGAAAACCGGAAGGGAAGAACACGCTTGGCATTTCTCAGGCTCAACGAACTAAAGAAAAAATTCAAGCTTTAATCAAGTTGCAATATTGAAGGATTCTATGGGCAAAATATTGAATGATGCAAGAAGCATCAAAAGAAGATGGAAGGGATACACAGAGTCACTGTACCAAAAAGAGGTCAATGTTCAGCTATTTTAGGAGGTAACATATGATCAGGAATGAGTGGTACTGAAGGAAGAAGTACAAGCTGCACTGAACAAGGCTACAGAAATTGATGGACTGCTGTTCTGGTTACCTAGTGCTGCTCTAACAAGAATATACTACAAGTGAATGGCCTTAAAAAACAGGAGTTTATTCTCTAACAGTTTGGAGGCTTTAAGTCCAAGTTCAAAGTGCCAGGCTCTAGGAGCTGGGTGAAAGCCCCTCAACCTTGGAGTCCAGCTCTGCCTCCAGCTCCCAGCCCACTGGAGCTAGAGGTGTTTCTTCACTCAGACAGCTGCTGGCTGCTGAGGCTGAGAAGCCCAAGGTTGACAAATAAAAAGTCATAGTCCTAATGTTACCAAACCACATGACAGGCCATTAATTCAAGTCCATTGTAAGTCCCAAGGTCGGCAGAGCATGGCAGGCTGCTGAACAATGACACGGCTACAAGCAGGGTCCAAGCGTGCCATAAGCCAGAGACGATTCCCAAAGCTGCTGCTTATATACGGGAAGCAGACCACATACCCAAAGGCCGCTACTCAGCTGCTTGTGGTAGATCCCACCATGGAGTTGATTGCCAGTCTCATCTACCACCAGCTGCCCAGCCACTGAACCAGGGCCAGCTAAGTTGACACACAAACATAACTACCACAAGTACCCATTGAGATGTTCCAGCAAACAGATGCAGCCCTAGAGGCACTCACTCATTTATGCCAAGAAATTTGGAAGACAGCTATCTGGCTCACTGATTGAAAAAGATTGACATTTGTGCCCATTCCAAAGAAAGGTGATCCAGTGGGATGTGGAAATTATTGAACAGTATCATTACTATCACACAGAAGTAAAATTTTGCTGAATTCAAAAATGGTTGCATCAGTATATTTGACAGGGAACTTCCAGAAATTCAAGCTGGATTCAGAAGAGTATGTGGAATGAAGGATATACTTGCTGATATAAGATGGATCTTGGCTGAAAGCAAAGAATACCAGAAAGATGTTTACCTGTGTTTTATTGTCTATGCAAAGGCATTTGACTGTGTGGATCATAACAAATTATGGATAACATTTGCAAAGAATGGGAATTCCAGAACAGTTAATTGTGCTCATGAGAAACCTGTACATAGACCAGAAGGCTGTCGTTCAAACAAAATAAGGAAATACTAAAGGGTTTAAAATCAGGAATGGTGTGTATTGGGGTTGTATCCTTTCACCATACTTATTCAATCTATATGCTGAGCAAATAATCTGAGAGGCTGGACTGTATGAAGAGGAACATGGCATCAGGATTGGAGGAAGACTTGTTAACAACCTTCAGTATGCAGATGACACAACTTTACTTGCTAGAAGTGAAGATGACTTGAAGCACTTACTGATGAAGATCAAAGACTACAGTCTTCAGTATAGATTATACCTCAACATAAAAAATCCTCACAACTGGACCAATAAGCAGTGTCACAATAAATGGAGAAAAGATTGAAGTTGTCAGGAATTTCATTTTACTCGGATCCACAATCAACACCCATGGAAGCAGCAGTCAAGAAATCAGTCGACATACTACACTGGGAAAATCTGCTACAAAAGACCTCTTTGAAGGGTTGAGTAAAGATGCCACTTTGAAGACTAAGGTGCCTGTGGCCCAAACCATGGTATTATCACTCACCTCACATGCATGCATGGGAAAGCTGGACAATGAATAAGGAAGACCAAAGAAGAGTTAATGCCTTTGAATCGTGGTATTGGCCAAGAATACTAACAATGGACTGCTTAAAGAATTAACATATCTGTCCTGGAAGTGCAGCTGGAATGCTCCTTGGAAGTGAGAATGGCCAGGCTTCATCTCACCTCCTCCTTTGGTCATGTTGTCAGAAGGGACCATTCCCTGGAGAAGGATGTTATGCTTGGTAAAGTAGTGGGTCACTAAAAAGGGGGAGACCCCTAACAAGGTGGATTGACATAGATGGGCTCAAGTATAGCAAGGATTGTGAGGCTGGTGCAGGATTGGGCAGTATTTTGTGCTGTTGTACATGGGATCAGTATGAGTTGAAGCTGTCTCGACAGCACCTAAAACAATGACAACAAAGATTTACTGATGTGCTCATCACTGTGACAAGTGCATTTATGGATTATTCCTCTGTGGAGAAGATACAGGAGCCTGGAGGAGACAGAGTTGGATAAGGCTAGGCTATGTGACTGGAGGGCCCATGCCTTAACACTTCACCTTCCGCCTGTGCTGGTCAGAGCTTTCCTTGGGGAGCTGCCTTTAGGAATCCACTCCCAGCCTTGTAAGCCCTGCGTTCAGGATCTGGAGCCTACTCTGCCATCCAGCTTGGCAAGTCACCAGGCTCTGAATTTCCTGCAAGGGTGCTGGGAGCTGGGCCACACACATCTGAAGTGCAGCTTCAGGCCTAGTTCAGCTCACTTTGGGATGTCATTAAATTAATACACATTTCTTCCAAGCACCCTCTCCCAAGCTTCTTTCCTCTGTTCCCTCACACACAGCAATTTTGAGCTGCAGGGCATCAGGCCACACAGCTAGGAACCCAGAACAGGTGCCCACTGGCTCTGTTTTGCCTGTGCCGCACGCCTTGGCCACAGAAGAGTCTGGCTCCGCATGGCCGCTGGACACATTGCCTCCACCTGGCAAGAGGAAACAGGAGGCACAGGCAGTATGGCCCAGCTTCCCAGAGACCCTCTTCAAGGGAGAGGATGCTCTGCAGCCACTGTCGCCATGCTGGCCAACATGCCTGCCACCTGGTTAACAAGTATAGCGTTATCGTAGATTCTTTACTATTATCATAAATGCAAAGTGTTAGGTGACGAGATAGTCTGTAAGTGAAGAGGTAGTGTACTTCTCCTTTGCCTCATGTTCACTCTGTGTCTCCTGAAGCTGTCACTCACCCACCCACCTTTACCCCATGCACTTGTCATTAAGAGCTGTTGAAAATGTAAAGTACAGATACTGTTGCCCAGTAAAGAGTTACACTTTAAAATTTGAAAACTAAAAACTTTCTTGGCATGATGTAGAAGAGAAAGCTTTGGACTGGAGTCAGAAGATCATATGCCTCATACTAAATAAAAGATGAAGGAGAAAGTAATTGAACATCTCTGGGCCTGTTTCTTTATGTGTGAAGTGTAAATAGTGCTTTCTCTTACTATCCACCTAAAGCCATCAGGAACAAATCAAGTTGAGCTGTTAATTGCTAGTTACTGTAATTCTTTTCTTATTTGGTCATGACTGTATGACTGGGATGTTTATATACGTATTTAGGAGAGAGTTTTTTTTAATCTAAACTGCATAGCTGCTGCTCAAATAATTTATTTGAGAAGAATCAGCACAAGGCTGGTGCCTATGAGGTGGAGGTTACAGATGTTCCAAATGTCCAACTCTTCCAAATCATACCACTCTAGCATCTCTCACATCAGCTACTCCTCCCCTCAGTACTTTGCCTCCGTCGTAGGGTTCCGCGTTTCACTGTAACATCTCATAGAACTCACCAACCGCGAAGGAAATGACTCAAGCAGTGGAAGAGGAAGGCAGGCAAGTCCCAAATCTCTGGGTCAGGGTGTCAGTCTAGAGGATTCTTTTCACTTGTGGTTACAGTGGGTGACAAACCTACTTTGGCAGGTCAGATGACTGGCTGCTGTCTCAAGCCCCAGGAAGTGGGAGTGAGATGATGACAAACCTGGTGCAGGATCCAGAGTGAGAGCGTGACCTTTGCCAGAGCATTCATATGTGCCCTCAGGGAAAGTTGGGCTCCTGACTTGAAACACACCCTCTCATAAGGCAGGACTGAGGTACATCCCACCCTAATCCTGCCTCAGTAACATAACAGACAACTCAGTCCAAAATGGGACCATAACTACAGGCGTAGAGGCTAGGGTTTTCAATCACAAGATGGAGAATGGTGGGTGGAAGGGCCATATTAAGCAATTCACTGCACTGAAGCTGCCAAAACGAAGATTGATTCTCTCAACACTGATGTCCGTTCAACAGGTGGGATGAATAGAATTCATAAGCAGCTGGTGGGTTTGAACCACAACCTTCTGGTTAGCAGTCAAATGCCTTAGGCATTGAGCTACCAGAGCTCCTTAAGAAGGGATGTCTCGAGTGCTAAATTAGGTGGTATGGCTGAAATGTTTGAGGGTGCTGTAGTGCTTCAAGTATTAGTTATTAAACTTTATTTTCTAAATTATTATAAGACTTGTGATCAACACCTAGTATGGCAGAATACAAAGCAAGATAGCAGATGTGGTCCCAACTTGGGTCTTAAGTCTTAAGACCAATAATATTAATGTTCTAAGTTTGAAAAAAAAAAAAACAACAACCCTATTTATATTTATTGAGGAGCTCTGGCATAGTACCTAAGGCATTTGACTGCTAATCGGAAGGCTGGTGGTTCAAACCTCAGAAGGAAGGTTCGGCAATCTGCTTCCATAGTGATGTCACCTCAGAAGCCCAAGGAGGGGTTGCTATGAGTCAGATCCGACTTGATCTTGGCAGTGGTTTTTGTGGTTTATACTTATCGGTATTTATAGTCTGTGTAATTCATTGTGCCAAGATATTTTAGGTTGGAAATGGAGAGATAAAGCCGAGGACTGATTAGACAGAACAGAGATCAAGAAGATCACTGCCCCATTCTTGCTGCTTTTTCTCAGTGTTTTCTTTTCCTGCTCCATGGTTGTCCAGGCAAAGAGTGTGTGCAGCAGTTAGCTGAGAACACCAGCTATTTCAGGAGACGCCTGAAAGAGATGGGTTTCATCATCTACGGAAATGAAGATTCTCCAGTGGTGCCTTTGATGCTCTACATGCCAGCCAAAATCGGGTATGTGTTGTAGACCACGGACTGGTTTCTTGCTGGACTATAGGTAGCTGTGATATGAGACGACGGGTTGTGGCCTTGGTTAGGGAAAAATGTCTTGGTCTCATTATGTTAAAGCTTCCTTTGCCAGATAATGCTATCGATTAAATAGTGGATTCTCAATTGCAAAATTTGGTGACTTGGTATTCTCTCATTAAACATTTGAGTATATGGCACAGGCACTGTTCTAGCGGAGTAGACAAAACACAAAACTCCGAGTCCTAGTGGAGCTTTACCCTCTGGTAAGGCTGCAGTCAGATGGACAGTAAAAGCAGTGAATCATGCAGTGTGTTAGAAGATTCACTATGAGGAAAAATAGAGCAGGTGGGAACATTGGGAGTCCCTGTGAAAGAGGAGCTTATGATATTAAATAAGACAATGAGGGTGGGCCTCCTTGGGATTGGGCTTCTGAAAAAGTGACATTTGAGCAAAGACTAGAAGGAGCTGAGAGGGTCAGCCATTTGGGAAAAGATGCATCCATGCAAAGGCCGTAACACAGAAACCAGCTTGTTGGTCAGAGAATAGTCAAGAGGTCAGTGGAGCTGGAGTGTGCCCAAGGGGAAGTAGCGGTCTGTGGGGTCACAAGGTTACATCGGGGTATATTATTGGACACTTACCAGATGTGCATATTATACTAGCGGTTTCGGTTTATGCGAGACATATATTGGGAATGCTTACCCTGGAATAGCTTTCAATGTCTTTGAAAAGACCATGTGTATAGTGAAACCAAAAGACATTTGAAAAGCCAGTGTGAAGAAATATAACTTCATGAAAAATGATTATATGCAGAATTACATAGGAGATGGGGAATAAAGGAATGTCTTCTTAGAACACAACAGGTAAAAAAGGCTTTTTTTTTTTTGTAATGGAATTTAAATTTGGGAGCCTGGAGGTATGGTGATTCCAAAGATAGTAAGGAAGGAATTGGGAAAAGGTGCTTACTGAGGGGAAAGTTCAGTTTTCAAAGTCATATGGGCAAACGGCAGTATGGCCTTCAGAGTACAGTAGAAATGTGTCAAAGCAGAGGTGTAGGTTTCCCTTGCTCTTCTTTAAATGGAATTGTCATACATAAACTTGAGGGATTATTGGCCCTGGCGGACTCACTCTGTCTAATCTGGGGTCCCTGAGTGGCACCAACAGGTAAGCATCTGACTACTAGCTGAAAGGTCAGAAGTTGTGCAGGTCTGCCCAGCGGCACTTCAGAACAAAGGGCCTGGCCGTCTGCTTCTCACCAGCCATTGGGACCCGTGTGGAGCACCCTTCCACTCTGACCCACAAGAAATCAACATGAGTTGGAGTCCACTCAGTGGCACCGGTGGCCTGGTGTCTAATCTGTCTACACAGGTGAACTGACCATGAGTTAAGATTTAGTGAGGGTGAAGATTTGGAAGCTCTAGAATTGGGATAAGGCATTAGATCATTTGAGAGCACGGGCTAAAGATACAGGGTGTTCAGGCCTGTTCCTAGCACGAAGGAGAGAGAGGTACACTGAAGATGTCTGGCACTGAGAGGATGAGGAACCCTCTGAGAGCTCCTTTGAAAAGGCTGGCATTGATAAATGCTGAATGTACAGAGTTTTGTTTGTTTGTTTGTTTGTTTTGTTTTTAATTCAGCTTAAGGGAAAAGGTTTTTTAAAAAGGTAAGATACATCAACCAGGAAAAGACAAACAACTTAGTTCAGTAAATAGCAAAATTTACATGGAAGTTAGATTTGTGTTATTTAGATAAGATACAGATATGGAATAAAGATGCATAACATCAATTTGGCTTATGGCAGGGACTTTAATCAAGAATTGTGTCATCTGCATGGTCACAGGGGACATCAAGCTCAACTGGCAGAACACTACTACACAAAAACATTGTTCTACCTCCTACTCAGGGGAGTAACAACTGGGATCTTAAAAGCTTGCAAGTGGCCACCTAAATGCAACGATGGGTCTCTCCTCAGCCAGAGCAAAGAAGAATGAAGAAAACCAAAGACACGTGGAAACAATTAGTCCAAGGGACCGGTACACCATGCAATCCTTAGCCTATACGACTGTGAGACCAGAAGAACTAGATGGTGCCCGGGTACCACTGTCAGCCACTCGGAGGAGAATCTATGTAGGAGATCCTGGGTAGGGTGGGAGAACAATTTGGAACAAAACTCAAAATCATTAAAAAAAAGAAAGTGGGGGGGAAGCAGGTTTGCTGGTCTGATAGAGCCTGGTGGAACCCCTGAGACTATGACCCCTAGCTGCCCTTCAGGTCTGGAATTGAACCCACAACTGTGGTTTCTAGCAAACAAAAGACAGGCATATGAGCTGAACATGTATGTTAGGTAGATACACTCCTTGGAGAGATCAATCATGGGAGAAAAGAAGGGCTGTGTATGCACAGGGAGATAGTTCAGGAGGCAGGAGTGCATGGGAGGGAAAGACACAGGGAAGAGGTAACTGTGGGGAGGAAGTGAGAAGAGAGCTGTTGCACTGTGGGAGATTGCAGTCAATGTCATGAGACAAAGTATATGTGAGCTGCTGTATGAAAATGAATTTGCTCGGTAAACTTTCACCCAAATCACAATTTAAAAAAAAAAAAAAAAAGGTGTCATCTGGATAATTCACTGCTGAAGCCAAGGGATGAGCTGGTCTAACAAACACCAAAAGAAGCCCTAAATTTGAAAGGCAGCTTTGCGCCCTAGATGATTAGACAAATTGTCTGGCCTGGAAAGCTCATGCCAGTTGGCCATCCTGTCCAAAAAGATGCCCATGTTACGCAAGAGCCCTTATGTCCTTAAACTGCCAAGCCCATCATTTCCGGGACCAGACTTTAATGCAAGTTCATTGGGAGCTTATGGCCACAGTTGTATCAGGAATGCTCTTTAGGCCAGTCACACTGATGATTGGTCTCTGCCAACTATATTCTTTCACTTTTGTGGGGGAAACATTTGGGATAAGACCACCTAAGGATTGACTAAAAGAAGTTTTTGTGAACCGTCCATTTTAACTTTAGGAGAAGTTAGAGGGAATTCCTAATAGAAGTCTCCAGTGACTGCATCACCAGCATCCAGATCATTCAAGACAGTAAGACCTTGGTACTATGCACTTCTTGGCTTATTTCTCTTATTTTCCTTTGCAGCGCCTTTGGACGGGAGATGTTGAAGCGGAACATTGGTGTGGTGGTGGTGGGATTTCCTGCCACCCCTATTATTGAGTCCAGAGCCAGGTTTTGCCTATCTGCAGCTCATACCAAAGAAATACTTGATACTGTAAGTAGACACTTCTGCCTTGATATAAATATGCCTTACATTGACAGGCCTTTATATCAGATGAGATCAATCACATGTTGATGCTGATGCTCTTGAAGCACCTGGGAAATGACTGGTCAAACGGAGCTGCTACAGCGCTGCTTACAGTTTCTGGCACTGCCCAGCGGGCCCTGCATGATCAGGGCCATGCAGAACTCGCTGGCTTCATCTTGTTCCACTCTTCCTCTCATTATGGACACTACAACTGTCCAGTTCTCTTCGCACTCTAACCTTTTTGTAGGTGGTTGTTCTGCCTGTAGCATTTTCTCTCTTGAGCCTCCTCTCCCCTTTGCCTGGATGGCTCCTACTTTTTTTTTCCCCTAGATTTTATTTTTGTTGTTGTTGTTGTTGAGAATATGCACAGCAAAAGATATACCAGTTCAACAGTTTCTACATGTACAGTTTAGTGACTCTGATTACATTCTTCAAGTCACCATTGTCACCCTCCTTTTCTGAGTTGTGCCTCCTTCATCAACATAAACTCACTGCTCCCTAAGGTTCCTATCTAGTCTTCAAGTTGCTATTTCAATTTAATCCCTTATAGGTAGCTCTTAAAAGAGCATAATGCTCAAAGACAGACCTTTTTTACTAGTTAAGCTGAACTATTGTCCAGTTTTAAGAAGATTTCAGGGGTTATTTTTGGTTTAAGGTCTAAAGATTATCGCAGGACAATAGCTTCAGGGGTTCATCCATCCTCCGTGGTGCCAGAAAGTCTAGAATCCATGAGAATTTGAAATTCTGTTCTGTGTTTTCCCTCTTTTGGTAAGGATTCTTCTATGGTATCTTTGTTCAAAATGTTCAGTAACAGTAGCCAGGCACCATCCAGTTCTTCTGGTCTCATGGCAAAGCAGTTGTTCATGGAGGCAATTAGCCACACATTCCCTGTTCTCCCCCTAATCCTGACTCTCCTTCTTCCTCTGTGCTCCAGGTGAATAGAGACTACTTGTTGTTCCTTGGGTGGCTGCTAGCAAGCTTTTAAGACCCCAGGCACTACGCAGTGAAACAGGAGGTAGAACAGAGGCACTAAGCATGTTATTAGGAGCTCTGGTAGTGTAGTACCTAAGGCACTTGACTGCTAACCAGAAGGCTGGCGGTTCAATCCCACCAGCCACTCCTTGGAAGGAAGGTTGGGCAATCTACTTCCGTAGTGATACCGCTTTAGAAACCCAAGGAGGGGTCGCTATGAGTTGGGTCTGACTCGATGGCACATAACAACAACAAGAAGCATGTTATTAGGTCAGTTAGCTGGGATATCTTGTTTGTAATGAATAAGTCATTGGTCTTACAAAATTCTATTATGCGTTCTCCAGCGTTATTTCTATCACCAAGGCCATATTTTCCAACTACCGGTGATTCGTCTTTGTTTCCAATCACCAGTGATAATCAACACATCTTGATTTCATGTTTGGTCAATTTCAGACTGCAAAAGTTGGTAGAAATCTTCAATTTCCTCATTTTTTACTTTGGTGGTTGGTGCATAAATTTGAAGAATAATAATATTAATTGGTCTTCCTTCTAGGCATATGGATATTATCCTATGACTGACAGCATTTCTTATGTAATCCAGGATTCTAGGTAGATACCCAAGAGAATTGAAAACATATGACCAAATAAAAACTCCGGCACATGGCATTCTTCATAATAGTCGAACAAGTGGAAACAGTCCAGATGTCCATCAACTAAAGAATGAGTGAACAAAATATGTTATAGCCATACAGTGGCCATAAAAAAAAGTATAAAGTACTGATCCACAGTACAAAATGGATGAACTTTGAACACATTGTACTAAGTCAAAGAAGCCAGACCCAAAAGGCCACATATTGTATCATTGTATAATGGTCCTCATTATTTGCAGAAATTTTATTTGCAAATCCTCCTACTTGCTAAAATTTACTTGCAATCCCAAAATCAATACTTGCCCCAGATTTTTAGTCATTTGCAGACATGCACAGAGCAGTGAAAAATTCGACTTGCCCAACACATTCACAGCTGATGACATCTAACAAGGTGATCTCAGCCCCCTTTGTTTCAGCGCTCATACTGTAAACAAGTGTCATTTTTGCAGTCTGCTTAATGCTACTTTTTTTGTGCTTTTTGTTGGTTGATTTCACTGTTTAAGAATGACCTCAAGCGAAGTGCTGTTTGTGTTTCTATGTATAGAAGGCTGTGATGTGCCTTACAGAGAAAAAAAGTGTATTTGATAAGTTTCATTCACGCATGCGTTATATTGCTATTGGCCGTGAGTTCATTGTTAATGTGAATGAACAATATGTGCTAAATAAGGTTTATATAAAACAGGGTTGTGTTTTGATCAGCTGGCAAAAATGACTAGAGGCTTGAAGGAACCTAACCCTGTATATCCCCTTGGAGCGGTGGTTCAGTATCTGCTAATTAGTGTTTGCAGCAACTTTATAGAACATAGTTACTGTGTATAATGAGAACTGACTGTATATGAAGTAGCCTGAATAGGGAGATCCGTAGGTCCAGAAAATAGATTAATGGTTGCCAGGCCTAGAAGGAGGGAGAAACGGGGAATGGCTGCTAATGGGGTATACAAATGTTATAAAATTAAGTGTTGATAGTTACCCTCTCAGTGAATATACTAAAAGCTACTGAATCGTCACTTGTTTCCCTAAAAATCCATCTTACCCTTTTATCCAGAGGTTCAGTGTAGGTTGTTGTTATAAATGGTGATACATGTAATGCTTCTTTATTTGTAGTCTAATTAAATAAACCCAAATGCAATAGCCAGCAGTTTCTAGTTACAATTTTGTATCTTATGTAGATAAAACTACATTGCCTGAATATTTGATATGGGTTCAGAGAAAATCTTGTAATATATAGATCCAGTTGGTCATTGTGGTTTTTTTGAAGTCAGGGTTCATGAGTGTTCTTTCCTTTGTGATCTTAGTAAGTTATGTGCGCTTTTTTTTTTTTTTTAATTTAAAATATCCCATATCAGTAGTAAGGAGCTATGGTGGTACAGTGTTGAATGCTAACCAAAAAGTCAGCAGTTTAAACCCAGCAGCTACTCTGCAGAATGAAAATGAGGCACTCTGCTTCCATAAAGATTAACAGTCTTAGAAACCCTGTCGGGCATTAACGTCTTCCTTGTAGGTGTATGGATATCATCCTATCACTTCAGAACAAATCTTGAAACATTTTCTGTGATGATGAATGCCATGCCATTCCTGTTCAGTTTGTCATTCCCAGCATAGTAGATCATACGGTTGTCGGATTCAAAATGACCCAAATCAGTACATTTCAGCTCACTGATGCCTGGGATATCGATCTTTATGCATTCTATTTCATTTTTGACAACTTCCAATTTTCTGAGATTCATACTTCATACATTCCATGTTCTGTTTATTAATGAATGTTTGCAACTGTTTCTTTCCATTTTGAGTCTTGCCACATCAGCAATGGAGGTCCAAAAAACTTACTCTATCCACAATTAAGATCAGCTCTACTCTGAGGAGGCAGCTCTTCCCCAGTCGTATTTTGAGTGCCTTCTGACCTGAGGGTCTCATCTTCCGGCACTATGTTGGACAGTGTTTCAGGGCTATTCTTTAAGTTTTCCAGTAATATATCAGACAGTGTTTCACTATTACCCATAAGGTTTTCACTGGCCAGTTCTCTGAGAAATGGATGGCCCCTTCCTTCTTCCAAGTCTGTCTTAGTCTGGAAGCTCCACTGAAACCTGTCCTCCGTGGGTGAGCCTGTTGCTATTTGAATACAGGTGGCATAGACCCAGCCTCACAGCAACACGCAAGCCACCACAGTACGACAAACCGACAGACAAGTGGTGGGAGTGCTGAGTGTTCTCTAATAGGCAAAAATGCCGTATTTTTAAGGACTCCAGAGTTTTTGCTCTCATCCATAGACTTCTCCGGGGGTAGGGGGCATCTGGGGTTTAAATCTCTATGTCCGTCCATTACATGTATTTTTCTGAGAAATTCTGAACATACTCCTTTTCCTAAACTGGGACCCTCAGTTTGACTGTCTGTGTGCTCCTTTTACGGAAAAGGTTACTTTGTGACCTGACACTTACCATTTGTGTACTTTTCTATATGTATATTGTACTTCAAACAGTAGTTCATGTATATGTCTTTGAATGAAACTAGGTGAGAATTGATAATTACCTAGCAGTTAGGACCATTAATCAGGGAGAGATTTTTCTATTCATCTTGTACCTTTTTTAAAAGTAAAATATGTACTTTGAAAAACAAAAGAGCAATTTTACAAAAAAGGAATAAAGTTTTACTGAGGTAACTGGAGTTTTGATGGAGTAACAAAACAACTCCTCAGGCTAGGATTTTGGACTTTGAAATGAGACCTTAGTTCAAACCCCAGCTCTGACCTTCACTTACCCCCTCGTGCCCTCCCTGTCTGTTGCCGACCCAGAGTCTCCGTCCAGCAGCTTCTGCCTTTGCTCACTAAGGCCACACAGCAGCCCACTCTGGAGACTCTTGGTGTTGCATCTAGGAAGCACCTTAACTCAGACTTGTCACCAGTTTTCTGGAATACAGGCTGTATGATTTATTAGCAAGAGCAAGTACTGAAATACAAGCAGAGATGGTAAACTGTAGACAGTCTGGATGCAGATTCCTTTTCCTACTACGCATATCACACTTGGGTGAGCCATGCCCTTTATCCCGCAACTTAACTGCTCATAGCCCTTTATTCATGGTTGGCCCGAAGTCCTTGCTCAAAACCCAACTCTTTTCTACAGCTGTACTGCGGTCTGATCTGAGTAAATGCACTAGACACTAAAAGTCCCACCACCAGTAGCCTTACCTGTGATTATTTTTAGAAAAATCAGGAAGTGGGCATGCTTGCACCTACAGGCTATGACTGACCTTCACTTTGTCTTTTGTGTTTTAGGCTTTAAAGGAGATAGATGAAGTTGGGGACCTGTTGCAGCTGAAGTATTCCCGCCGTCGGTTGGTACCTCTCCTGGACAGGCCCTTTGATGAGACTACATATGAAGAAACAGAAGACTGAGCCTTTTTGGTGCTCCCTTAAGGAACCTTCCTCCCCCAGGACAGTGTGTGGCCTTTCTGAGCCAGTTCCAGGAACCACACTTCTGTGGCCATCTCTTGTGAAAGACGTTTCCTCAGCTACTGAAGGTGGCCACCTCCACTTTAAACGGCATTTTGTAAATAGTAAAAAACTCCTTCACATCCTTCCTTTGCTGCATCTCACCTTTAAAAAGAAAGGTGGCTCACTTTGGTTTTTTTCCATTAAAAGTTTTGTTTTATAACTACTCTACTTACGAAATCACGCTACCCCACCCTGTCTCTGGCTAACCATGTAGGCCATTCCCCTTTCCCTTCCACCATGCAGACTTGAGGGGTTCTCCTTCTGGGCCCTTCATGAGATACTGCTGGCCCTCGCCCTGTAGTCTGAGTCACCTGGCCCTCCTCCCTAGCGGGCAAATGCCTTCCACTTACTTCCCACCAAGTTTTAGTTTGCCAGCCTTTGAATCATTATAGAACCTGTCAAGTGATCAACCTAAGTATTCTTTCTTTTGTCTTACTTTTTGCCTTTTTAAAAAATAGAGGAGGAAAAAAATATAGTAACCAGTAACATTGCTGAGAGGCTCGTTGACTAACTCCTGCTGGCCAGGGACTTCCTCCAGCTTTGGTCATGCTCCACTTTGTTCTGGTCACCAAATGTTTTCTTCTTCCACCATCAAATGTTTCTTCATGATGGTCACAGTCTTAGGGTACGTCCAGTGTCTGAACTCTTCACAGGTTCTGACCCTAAGACCCCCCCCCCCCCCCCTACTTAGAACAGGTACTATTTTACAGGCACCCTTTTCTCATCCTGGTCAGACCTCTGTGGTGAAGATGATGGTCACATGTCACTATTTTGTGCACAGAGCTGGCCTGCAGAGTGATGGGCACTCGGAGGTGTGAGGACAAGGGGAAGTGTGGAAAGAATTGATTACTCCTTTCAGGATGCCTGTGCTTTGAGTTTCTTACTGCTTCCCACTTTTCAGAGTGATGACAGCCTCTGCTGGGCCTCTTTCAGGACTTTAACTGAGAAAGGAAGAGCTTGGGAAATCCTCAGAAATCTTTTGTCATGTTCCTGTTCAAGGATTCAAGCTATTAACTTAGCCCTTTTAGAAGAGGACCCATTTAAATAGTACTCTCTTTGATGGCTTTTTTCTTTTCTTTTATTCTTGATTCTGGGGCTTAGCATCTCCCTGTCCTTCCATTCCTTCTTTCATCCTCCATCCCATCTCCCATTTTTCTGAGAATTCTGGCCACATGCCCCTTTCCTAAATTGGAGTCCTCTATTTTGACTTCATCTTCGAAGCATAACAGTATAAAAGGACTTCTTTTGGAAAGCTTTATGCTGCATGACCAAAGAACAAATCTGAAATCACCGTTTTTCCGTTGTTATTTTTCTGTTGGCCAAAGCGTAAGTAAGGAGAACTTTTGGCTTTATCATACCCATCATCAGCTCGTCTTTAGTAGCCATCAGATGGGACAGGGGAGGGCTGTGAACAGAGGGGAAACACTTGGCGTCGAGGTGGTTTTGCGCATCTTATTTTGAAATCACTCCTTGTGTTGGTGATGATTCTCCAGGGCACCTCGCGTGTCACTAAGTCTGCAGACGCACGGGATGGAGAATATTAGCAATACTGCTTGTGAAGTTTTGTTTTCATGTCTTGAGTATAAGTTATCTTTGGTTACTCTCAGCATCTGAGAGCTTTAAGCCCTTGAGATATTCCTGAGTTTCACTTTTTTAAAGAATAGAAAAGGGCAACTCAGAGAACCAAGTAGAGTTGCAGGAAATATATTTAGCATGTACAAGTGGAAGTAAAAAAAAGGAAACTGGTGTAAAATTACTAGTCCTGTAAAATCAAACACATCGCTAACTTTTCCTGCACATCTAGTTCCTCCCATAGAACCACTGCTACAATACCAACGAGCTTTCATTCTGCAGTTAATTGTAATGGTATAAGGTTTGCAAAAGTCCAAAACTTTGATAAGCAAAGAACTTACCTGCTAGTTGTCTTACACTGATATGCATGAAGTGACTGGAAATTAAAATGTCAGTACAGGCACTTAAATCAACATCATCATCACTGCACCAGTGCAAAGTTTTTTTCAGAATAAATGTAGTTAAGCCACAATTTTCTTCTGAAGGGACAAAACTCCCTGATCTACCCAGGACCTCTATACTTTTAGAAGGCAAAGTATTACATATACATTACACATACTGGTTGTCTCTAGACTATAATTGAAATCTAGGATCCATATCATATCACAAGTGTCATTATTTACCCAACTGTTTGGGGAAGTACAAGTATATATAAATACAGTTACTGGGAATGAGTAGAAATCCAGGCATACAATTATTGTTTCGTACACAGTTTAGTATGTGGCCTGATCCGAGAATCTCATGGGATTCAAGTAAGCATCAGTTAATGACTGTTTCTACCAAAACCAATGTTAAGGGTCAGTCAGTGAAGTGTGACTAATCCTCATCACTTTCCCTTTCTCATCAGAATCAGAACAACCTTCTTCCTCAAACACTCATATAAGGGGAACAAAAATATCCCACACACTACTGAGGGCTGTACTTGCCCAATACCCTTTTGGGAGCCAAAGAACTAAACATTCTTCTAATGATTCTCCTTATTCCCTCCCTCCTTTATTTGGCCTTTCTTTGTTTTTCAGTTCTCAGTTTTTAGAATTCTAGCCACAGAAAACTGATCCGTGGTGGTGCCGGGCCTTTGGGGGGGGGGGGTGTCTGTAGATCAGCTCTTGATTCTCCCTGTACACTCAGCTTTACGTGTCAAGAGGAGTCAAGGAGCTTTTTACTTCTTGCCAACCTAAGGAAGCCTTTGAAGAGCTCTGGTGGGGTTAAAGCATTCTATTCCTAACCGTTAAGTTCAGTGGTTGGAACCCACCAGCCTCCACAGAGAAAGATGTGGCAGTCTGCTTCTGTAAAGATTTACAGCCTTGGAAACCCTCTGCAGCAGTTCTGCTGTGTCCTTTTGGGTCATTATGAGTTGAAATTGAGTCTATAGCAGTTGGTTTGGATTTGGGTTTGAAGGGAGCCTATATCAAGTTTCTTTTGACTTAGTATGGTCTGATTTTCTAGTAAAAACCAGGAGGAAAATGGCTTACTTGGGGAAATTTCTTGGCTTCTCAGTGAAGGGAAAAACAAAACAAAACATTATCACCTCTTCACTGCCTCCTGTGTTAACCCTCTTTTCCAAGTTGATGAAGAACTCTGCCCCAGTGATAATGGACAGGGTAACAGTGCAGAACTGGCAGTCATGCCATCAGGCAGTGAAGAAAGAGAATTTGATTCTTGCTTTGTAAGAATTTGTAGGGATGTGGCAAAACACCTAGAGAAACTTAAATACAATTGATGTGCAGGGTTCTGAATGGCCATGATCCAGTCCCTCCATACTCTTCGAGTTCTAGGTAACCCAAAATGGGCTTTAATTTCTGCTTGCTTTAACCTGTGTGGTTTTTAGGAGAGAGAAGAGTGAGTTTCCTTCCACTGCCTACCTTCATGAAGATCAACAATTGTTGAGCGTATCACATCAGTAAAATCAGCTTAGCCTAAAAGGGTTGTGAAGAGAGGTGTGAAAATCAAAGGATTCTTAACGGCTGTTGAGCAGCTGTTTGCTTAAGTGCACTCCTCAGACCTGCAGATGTGCTTTTACCTGCCTCAGATGGAAGTTCAGTGCCAACAGGAATCCTAATCCATTCAGCTACTTAAAACTCCTTCCACTTGGAGAGAAGCACTGTATGAAATGCAGTGTTCAGGCTCCCAGCCAATCACCAGATGGCAGAATTAAAAGTGGCTTCCTCCCGTCCCATACAGAATGCTAGGACTGGCCAGTGAGCTTTTTGCTTTTAACTGTATAGAGAGTACTGTCGTCCCTTTTCTTGTTTCCAGAGACTTGATTTCTGGGCATCTTTTGCGATAGACAGTTTTCTTAGAGGGAAAACCAAAGGGCTAGCTTATGTCCTTAAAGAAAATGTTTTCTAGTCTTCTCTAGTGAGTCTGGAGGTTTCACATTCCCAGCGCACCCTCGGGAGAGGACTCGCCAGGGGAGCTGTGGGCAGGTTTGGTTTACTTCATAGTATGTTGTCAGGTGCCATCAAGTCGGTTACAATTCCTGTCAACACTGTGTCCAACAGAACAAAACACTGCCCAGTCCTGCACCATCCTCACAGTCTTTGCTATGTTTGAGCCCACTGTCGCAGCCACTGTCTCCGTTCATCTCACTGAAGGTCCTCCTCTTTTTTACTCACCTCTATGTAGCATGATGTCCTTCTCCAGGGACTGGTCCCTCATGACACGACCAAAGTACAAGAGATGAAGTCTCACCATCCTCACTTCTAAGGAGCATTCTGGCAATACTTTTTCCAAGACAGATTTGTTCATTTTTCTGGCAGTCCATAGTATATTCAGTATTTGTTGCCAGTACCGTAATTCAAAGGCATCAATTCTTCAGTCTTCCATAGTCATTGTTCAACTTTTGTTCAACTGCATATGAGGCAGTTGAAAACACCCTGCCTTAGGTCAGGTGCACCTTAGTCCCCAAAGTGCATCTTTGCCTTTGAACACCTTAGAGAGGTCTTTTGCAGCAGATTTGCCCAGTGCCAGATGTTGTTTGATCTCTTGACTGCTGCTTCCATAGGCGTTGATGATGGATCCAAGTAAAATGAAATCCTTGATAACTTCAGTCTCTTCTCTGTTTATTATGATGTTGCTTACTGGTCCAGTTGTGAGGATTTTCGTTTTCTTTATGATGAGCTGTAATCCGTACTGAAGGCTGTAGTATTTGATATTCATCAATAAGTGCTTCAAGTCCTTTTTGCTTTCAGCAAGCAAAGTTGTGTCATCTGCATCTCACAGATTGTTAGTCAGTCTTCCTCCAGTCCTGATGCTGTGTTCTTCTTAACGTGATAAAGCCTTAAAATGTGATTCTTTGGGGTATGATGAGTTATAATAAACTGACCCTACAGAATTCAATGGCACTTAAACTGCAGTTACTGTGAAGTAATACCCAAAGCTCTGTCCTTTGGGAGCATTTGTGGATAGGTTGAATTTAAGATTACAAACAGGAATAGTAGTGTGATGTTGTGCTTTAAGTGTCCTGCCTTGTTGTGTCTGCGTGGATAACCCTTCCATGCACGAGAAGCCTTGATCAGACCAACTCCAAATCTGCTTTTTCCAACATAATTCCCAGACTCTGTGCAGAGCTTGG